CTTCCAAGTGATGAAGGGTTTCGTAGAGGAATCGATTCGGCTCTTGCTCCATGAAGCCCTTCGACTGATAGGGAACCAGAACCACGAGAACTGCAGCTCATATTTAGGGGGCAAGAATGGCCTATGTCCATTGACTGTTCTGAAAAAGAGAAAGGTGGATCAATCACTTGCGAATTAACCTTGATAGAACACTGATGAATATACACATATCTCGACTTGTTTCGAAGATATTTTCCTTCAGTACTGAAATAAGGGCAATGCATTGTCTCATCAAAATTATGTGAAGTTCTAAGGACCGAAGCAGCATCACCACGTTGAATAGCAATACTGATTATTTTTATCAAAGAGGTAGAACGATAATCTTTTGTTGCTTGGCCTAATCTCCTTACGAATTCGTGAACGAATAACAGAAACTCCGAGCCACAAACACTAAAAGTTTCAACCGCTATTGGATGGACCATAGTTGTTACAAAAATGTTGGTAATTTTTTTGTTCTAATTTTTCCCTAGACAATATTTCCATGATACGCACTGCATTTCACATGCAACTCAAACCATGCGTATTTTTCTTATGCGTACCTCAATTATGAGGCACGCAAATAGATAAACTCATCCTTAGTCCTACTGCCATTCTGAAAGATTCATCGTCTGATAGTGTTCCAAGAGATGCAACAGGTAAAGCATTCAACCAAGCACCCTGTTCTGACTTTACCTGTAAATTAGGTATTATTGGAAATATCCAGTCTCGAAGAACCAAATTAAAATCCAATTTTTTGTCTGTCAAACTCTAATCTCTATTTTTTCAACAACGTCACAGCTAACTTATACATATTATGGAAGATTTACAAAACATCAAATATAATTATACAGAATGTAACAATTCTAAACTAAATAAATGAAATAAACTCCAACATTCTCCCCTTCAGTAATTGTCCCATCATTAATTAGTCATCTTTTCGTTCTGGTCGTGTACTGACAAAACACATAATCTGGTCTTCGGAAAATTATTTTCTTCGCTGTCATAACGTCGGCAACACGTATTTTTCCATCCTGTGCTGGATAAAGATGTACTATTTTTCCTTTGAGCCAACAGTTCCGAGGTGCGTTAGGTTCATAAATGAGAACAATATCAACTCTTTTGAGAGGATTCTGTTCATTTTGTCATTTGCTTCTTTTAATTAGTGATGGCACATACTCACGTGACCAACGTTGCCAGAATATATCGGCAATCTTCTGAGCTGCCTTCCATTTCTTCAGGAGATGTGAATTAGTTTCTTCAATCTTTGAACAAGGTAATGCCGCATATAATGGCCCAATCAAAAAATGGTTTGGAGTCAGTGCATCAGAATCATTTGGATCAGTTGGGAGTGGCAATTTGCCCAACAGCTTCGAACTGCTTGGCGAATTTTGGGAATGCAATATTTTTGAAGTAGATTATTAACAACTGTTTCTTGACCATGATGGTTCACGAGTTCATGGTGGTATTTGTGATTTCATGTTTGACATTTAATATGACAGGCCTTTTGGTGTTTTCATTCACAAAAGCATTATCAATTCTTCCATAACATTTTATCAGTCCTACGGTTTCATCAAATGAACAATCAAATGTGTACAATTTATTTGACGGCGTCAATTTTCCCTTTCTTTNTTCAACAATATTGGATTGCGCAAATGGTCTTCTTCATTTAATGTCTCAATGGTTGCAACAAGACTCTTAACTTCATCTGAGAACTCTACTAGCATATCTAGTTTTTCATCCCTAACATTGGGAAACTTTCTAACCCTGTCTAATAAAAGTGAGATGATATGTTCTGAACGTCCAAAACGGTTTTGTAAAAGGTCAATTACTCTATCAACATTTTGTGGCAATATTAGTAGAGATTGGGTTAATTTTTTTGCATTACCTTTGAGGCATTTTTGAAGTCGACATTGATTTTTTTCATTGGAGTAGCCACATATAGTTGAAGAATGTTTGTATTGCTGAATCAAATGTGGCGATCGCCACTGAAAATTGGCAATTCTATTGGTACATCTTGTCTAACCAAAATTTTCCGAATGTCATTGTCTGTCACTTGACATTGACGTATACATTTATAACTTTTTTTCGGAATGTGGATTTTGTGAATAAAAATCACCTACCTTGGTCTCATTTCGCTGATCTATCTCATATTTTGGCGTGAAAATACCTGCTTTGTCATTACCATCCCACGGAGTTCTTCCTGTCATCCACTTTTGTACGTTAGGAATATAGCTTGCCACTGACTCCTTGTATTAATCTGATCCAGTTTTATCTTGGTGAGTAGATACTGACTCAATTTCTTCAATTTGGGCTTCATTGCAAGTGCCAGATCTAAGATTTCTTGTTGTTTTTTCAAAACCTCTAGCTGATTTTTAATTTCCAGTTGTTTCTTTTTTATCTGAATTTCGATTTCACAAGACGTCTTGATGACGCAGTAATTCTTGTGCTGACTTTCTTGCTTTCATGAGATTTACCATGTACAGAATAATTCTTCTTGTTGTCTGCATTCATTGATTCTCTGGTAGATTTGTCAACGTCATTTGGATCTACCATCGATCTATCAGAAATAATTTGCACATGTACCTTTTCTGGTCTGTTTATCTTCTCATCGGCTTCAGCAATATTTTCTGCGTCTGTTTGGTTTCTTTTTTCGGCGAGTCGTTTACTTGTTCTCCATTCAGACATAATTCTAGCTTTTTATTACCAAATTGCTGTTCATTATAGGCAACGAGGGACCATATGTTTTGACTTTACCTGTAAATTAGGTGTTATTGGAAATATCCAGTCTCGAAGAACCAAATTAAAATCCAATTTTTTGTCTGTCAAACTCTAATTTCTATTTTTTCAACAACGTCACAGCTAACTTATACATATTATAAAAGATTTACAAAACATCAATTATACAGAATGTAACAATTCTAAACTGAATAAATGAAATAAACTCCAACACACCCGATTCCTTGATCATTGCTGCTTTCAGAAGAGCTGCTGCTTGTAGTTCTCAGAAGTTTATCATTTATAATTTTCAGAAGAGTTCGGTTCTATCCTCCTTGTATTTTCTTTTTATCTGTAGGAGGAGCAATATTAGTTGCGGCATGCCAAAGTGATTCACCTTCAGCATAAGAAACGTCTTTGATATTGATGAATATGGAAGGAAGGATGGAATCGATAAGATCAGAAACACTAATGACTGACGACAGAAAAGCTGGTAAAGCTAAGGAAGAAGCCGAACGTAGCCCTAGTCCGCCAAGGTTTACAGAAAGCATTGCTTGCTCCCGAATAATTGTTTGTAACATATTCCGTCGTGTTAAAGAGTGAATTATCAAATTCGTCAAGCTCTAACTGACTAGACCAAGTGGGGAAACATCTGAGGACGTACATGAATATTGGAATCGCCAAACAAGCTTTCAAAAAAAATGCAACGTGTTTAGGAAGTTCATTCAATCTGGTGGTCAGCAATTTGAGTGATTCCCGTTCTTCTCAAAGATATTCTGAAAGTGAATCTTTAGAAAGAGTAACACCCAGGAGGTTCCATTTAGACTTTTCCAAATTCTTATGCCAGGAGCCAATTTCAAAATGATGGATTCGTAAATTTTATTGGGAGTTGAAAGAGTAATCAACTCGCATTTATCATAATTTAGTTCAAGTCCAAGATATTTTAAATAATCAACGATTTTTTCTAAATCCTTTGAAACAATGTTTTCATCGCCAGCGATTGAGCCCTCGTACAAATACCAACAATTGAATTCGGATGATAAACTTCTAGTGAGTTCGTCGATGGTCGGACAAAAAGTAGCATATCCTAAGGGATCACCTTGTTAAACACCTCTCTCGGACAGAACCAGATATTCACAAAAACTCAAATAGGAAGCTGATATGTATAACAATGACTTAGGAAGGGATACAATCCTGAAAAGGGCTCTTCATGATGTTACACAATTGATACGTATGATGTACTATCAATCATATTGAAAGAATTTTTTAAATCAATTTTCAGGAATATTTTTGAATCAACAGCTGGATGTAACATCGATCCTAATTCGTATTTGATCCTCATACAACTAAGTTCAGCTACTAATCGACGATAAAATGTACTGACAGCAATTGGTCTTACCCCTTCATCCTTTTTCCGAAGAGCACACGGTGAAGCGTCAAAAAGTATAGGACATATTTCTGGAGAAACCCTACCAATAAAAATGAAGTTACATGATTTAGTAACAGAGGAAAGAAGTTTCTGTCCTGAATTTTCAGAGCTGTGACTAATGGGTTCTTGCAAGTGGGTAGGGAGGAAGAATCTAAACCACCAGCAGAACCACAACGAAAAGATTCAATTGCCTTCGATAGTTCATGTTCTAAAACATGAAATACCGGTAACTCTGAAAAATTGTGTGATGGTTGCGAATCCAGAGAATACGTGAAGGAATCTGATCGAAGGTGTTTTGATTCTGGATGCATCCATTGTGATTGTAAAATGGTTAGCCAATCATTGTACCATTACACCTTACGGTAGTAAATTATACTTACATGTATCATAGAAATTATACGGTTGGCGACATTGTGTTAGTACGTCATATATGTGAACTGTCAACATCTTTTTCAAATTCATCTTCCACTCACCTCCCCACCAACTTTCCACATTCTACTCCCCTACTTAGGTTTCAACTACACCAGGTGTAATGTCACATGTCCGACTCAACTTCAAAGTTGACAGATAATCAAAGTGACAAATCAGTCGTAGTCAAAATTCATCGTACTCTCCAGAATGGATTACAGGGCTCATTGTCCTAAACTACCGTGGATGATAGACTTTCATAGTAATGAAGAGAAAGACGTTCTTAACACACAGTATCAAGCTGCATTCGCTGATACTTCTCTTAAATATCTCAGCTCTTTGAACATCAAGTCCAAACCGTCCCGATTCAGGTCAACCCAACTGATCGCCAGTATTCCTGCTAATGTAACGTGCAACAATATAGATGACATGCTAACTGCGGGGATGCGGGTGGCTCGGATAACAGGTACTAAACTTGAAAAAATCAAAGAAACATTGTCCAAGGTTAGAGTCATCAACGAAAATTTCAGCAGGAGGCTGGGTAGAGTTTATCCCTTGGGAATAGCGATGGAGATTAGTGGACCAGAGATCCGAATAGGTGAGCAGGAGTTTCAGTTCAATAATGATTACCAAGATTTGAGAAAAAAATTAGCATCAAGGCGTGATTTTTATTCACAGTGATCGTTTTTGAAACAACTACAATTGATCTAGAGAAGATGAATCATGAAACCCAAATTTGTACATTATAGGTGAACCAAAAAAACAGAATAACAAAATTGTTGAAATCATCGACGACCAAAAACCGTAAAAGATTTTCCAACAACTTATCGTTCTTGAAAGTAGAAACACAATTAACAGTCAATTAATTTTAGTTGCTAGAGTATTTGTAATATTGAAATCTTGAAGTAAACTTTGTTATTGTGATGGTGTATTTCGAGTTATTAATAGTCCTTATGTATTTTGTTTTGTTTTCAGTGTTGCTTACTATTGTTTGAGAAGGATATGATCTTTTTGTATCACATCCATATTATATGTTTTTATTTCTCAAACATGTACCTACCAATATTTCTTGGAAAACACTATGTGAAAACTGTGTAAAATGTGGCTATTCCATACTATGAAAGATTCTCTTCAATTTGCTGTGCAGCTGTAATTGATTACGTTCAAGTTGTACCTTTTTTTTATATCCTCATTTAGCAACAACTGAAATAGTCTCATACTTTATATAGGTACCATGTTGAAATTTTTCAAAGAACTAGAAAAACTGTATATAGTCATTAACATTATCTGATGGTTCTTATTCCTTCGTATTGGGGGGTATAAATCTGTTTCCACAGAACTCATATATAGACTGTATCTTACTGAATTTCGATAGTTCGGACTTCCATTATCAAATAATATAAAATTATTTAAAATTTTTGAAATAATCAATAAAATCAAAAACAATAGCTGAAAATACCAATTATATTAAGCAAAAAACAACCTGAACTGATATTACAATAAAATAAAATGAAAGCAACAATTGAAAATAAAACAATCAAAAAGGAATAAAAATTCAAATATTAAAAGGCGTTACTTCACAACGTTTCGATTGTTAGTATCCACAATCGTCGTCGGGTGATGACTGGACTCATTTCCCCGAGAGATGACTATTTATAGGTCATTCAAGTGCTTTCGCCTATCCCCTTTTCCCTCTCACCGCTTCACAGGTTTAGCGGTAGCTGACCGTTTGGCGGGAGTTAGCCGTTTTCCGATTGATTATAGATTTCCATATGTTGCGTATCTCTACGCTAGCTTGGCTGAATACATTGTTGAACAACATATACACGGCTTCTTTGAATTTCCTCCTACACCAGTGTTCCTCCTTGTGGATGATCTCAGCTTGGACTACTTGATGTTATGTTGATGAGTCCAAACATGCTCTGCTATTCCCGATTTGCTGGTTTCTCCTCGCTATGTGTGTTTTTTGTACTCGACAATGGGGACTTACAATAGCCTGTTAGTTTCACCGAAATAGGATTTGTCGCACTCGCGGGGTATCCAGTAAATGCAATTCTTGGAATTGCATTCCGCGTTTGGTGGCCAAGTTTTAGTGAGGCTGCTACAAATAGTGTAACCAGATCTGAAGCAGGTTTTGATGTTGTACTTGGACCCAATTCTTCTTAGCCGTTCCGACAACCCTCTGATGTAGGGAAGTGCGAATACTAGTTGGTTGTAACAGCTTCTCCTCATTGCGGGGCTTTTGTTATCTTTCAGCCAAAGTCTGTTCCACCATCACTTTGGAGAACACATTCCATTGAACATCATTTTTGATGATGCCTTGTCCTTCTCGAGACCTTCCTTCGTATTACAGAGCCCAAAGGCACGGTCTACTGGAGTCTTTATGATTCCTCTTTTAGTCGATTGCTAGTAGTTAGATTCGAGGTTCAGATACTGTCCCGTGTGAGTGGGTTTTCGGTATACAGATGTTTCCCACTTTGTGTCGGTCCTTTCCACCAATAGGTCTAAGAATGGCAATTTGCTGTGGATTTCCTTCTCCATTGTGATAGTGATGGAAGGTCTTATACTGTTGATGTGCATCAGGAAGATGTCTAGTTCTATATTCCCATAGTTCCATATTATGAAGGTATCATCAATATATATCAACCAGACTCTTTAAGGGATTTCAAATCATTTTATATCATATGAGACAATGTAAGTCCGAACTAATATTTATCATGAAGTATTGTCAACCAAATTCAAACAAACATTATTGAAGTTAATAAAAGAAATTCTCAGATGAATTTGGTCTTTTCTATTCCCCAGCATTATTTCATTACATTCTGCACCTACTTCCTTGAGTTTAGCATAAGTTCTATTCCACTTATTCTGCAACATCATGAAGTTTATTTTGTTTTATTCAGACTTCAATATCCTGAAATCTAATAGAAAATAGGACCATCAATGATCAAATTTGACAAAGTTTCTATGGATTTCTCAAAAATGTTTATTTCTATAAAAAAGCTAGTATTCATGGAAAATCATGAAATCCATATAAATTTTTTCTTCGACTATATGTTCGAACTCTCATCATTTGTTTGCAAAGTATTCCACTTCAATTCGCCTTTATGTTTTTCACCATTCAGCCCAAACATTTCAGTCTACTCTTTTCTAGATGATACTTCACTAGAGAAGGTGTCATCTATGATTCCGACAGAAAACACAAACTAGGTTCATCGAAAGTTGCCACCAAAGAAAGAATCAGTTGATGATAAAATCAGAGCAAAAACGTCTAAATCTCCATAAAATATTAAACTTTTGTATTTTGATTTGTCATCGGAATATTACAAATGTACTCCAGCCAGTATATGATGTGACAACCAAAAAGCGATTACACTTCTGAAGGTATCTGTCGCTATTTGCCTTCACAACAAATTGCTTTTGAAAGCTTCACTTAAATTGGTTAAACCAGTTTTGAGTTTTCGGTTTATTTTATAGATGCTTCATAGAATCAATTATGCCAACTTTTTATTTAGGACAACTGACTTCAAATACACTATCTGGTGAAGAGGTTCAATGAACTCTCACAGTTCATATAATGCCTTATATTTATTCACTTCATTCTTCAGGTAACTTGAAAGGTTCCGCTAAAAAACTCTACCTCCAGAAGGGCAAGTTCACCAAGTTAACCACCGAGCCTTCATATGAAGACTTCGTCACCGAAGACATGATCTACATCGACTACGAGAAACTTCCAGAGGTAGTTCAGCCAGGAGACAAAGTTATTCTGGACAACGGATCTGTAACCCTCACAGCGCTGGAATGCGTGGAAAGCATCATCAACTGCATAGTAGACAAAGCTGGAGTCTTACTTAGCCACGCTTCTGTAGTCGTTCCAAATGCGCCCATCGAGTTACCTCAAATATCAGCTAACGATAAGGAGTTGATGGGGGTGGCTATAGGAGAATGTGTGGATTTCTTGTTCATTTCTGGTATCTACAATAAAGAAGGTATCATGGATGTGAGGGATTTACTGGGGCAGGGAGGGGAAACGATTCAGATTGTTGCCAAAATTGGTGTTTCTGCTGCGATTGCAAATATCGACGAGATCATTGAAGCCTCTGATGCTATTTGTATAGACTGCGAGAGGTTGATGGTGGAATTGCCTAAGGAGAAGGTATTTCTGGTGCAGAAATCTATACTGGCAAAGTGCAACATAGCGGGTGAGTATAATAATTCTAGGGAATTTTGATAGACTTGGAAGAAACTGAATAAAATCAATGATGAATTTATTGAGCTGATTATTAAGTTTCTCAACATTTGACCAATAATGTACAGAAACCATCATAGTGTTGGAATGTGTGTGTGGAAAGAAACTGCATCTTCCCTCCAAATATGACATTCTGTCAAATTTGCAGGAAAGTTGATAAAATGATTGATAGACTTATTTAGCTGATGATATATCAGCAATGACCAACGACCAATGATGTATCAGCAAAAAAATATCTCTGCATTACTTTACTAGTCACGCATATATAACAACAAATCTTCTGTATCTGTAGAGTAGGGAGGGTGAGAGTTGGCCCACTGCACTTAGGCCACATGTGACCCATTGTACATCTTCCCGAAGAGTTGTCCTCCTAGAACTTCTTCTATTCTGTCCTTTCCAGGAAGGTGGACAGGTCACTACGAGACATCTCCCTTAAATCGGCGGGTGTAGGCCAAGCCTCGCTGAACACACTCTTATTGACGATAACTCCGGACACTCGCATACGAGATGCCTAACAGTTTCATCTTCCTTTTCACCAATCTTGCACAGAGGTGTGTCCACTAGCCCCATATTATGGAGGTGTTTCCCTAGTTGACAGTGGCCAGTCAGAAATCCTACTGTTAAGCGTAGATTTTTCCTGATCATAGCCAGATATTTCTTCGGCGCCAGCTTACCAGGGTGATCCTGGCAAGACTGCATCATTTGATTCCATCTCATCTCTTTAGCATTGAGCATGGGTGTGACGTTTGGCTAGTTCCACAATTGCCGAAGTCATCAGGACCTAGGTGTCACTGGGTCCTTAAATTCTTAATCCAGTCGCTTTCTTGGCTACAGATTCGGCAATGCGTTTACGTTTACTCCTGTCGTGCCCTTCAACCCACCTCAGGATAATGTTATTATCTACCATGTTACGAATCACACATTAAAAGGTAAGACCTCATTAGTCCTTAGCTCGCACAAGTTTCTCAACTCCTGAGAGTTGTCGTTCGTATGGGGGCGACAGCTGATTAACGGAAAAACAGATTTTTCTTTAACCGAGGTTTTGGCTAAATCTTGGTGGCACTCTAGTACTAGCCCTGAGGTAATACGTTTTCTGTTCAATGCTAATAGGGCTTGTCTACTATCACTGCAGATTGCTGTGTTTTTGCCAGAAATTTCTTTCCTGGTTATTTCTTTTGTTTCGATTGAGATACCACGCTGGTATTTTTCCCATTCCCCACTATACAACAAATCTTATAACGAATCGTTTAGGCGATTTTTTGAACTAGCTATGCGAAATCTCACAATCATGTATTTGAATTAGAGTTTGATATTCATTCATGATGAAAACTGGAAATTTCCAATGAAACTTATGGATGCCAGTTTTTAATCAATTTCCTCTAAAAGTTTATATAAAACGTTACGATGTATACATCTCACAATGTGATTTTTATGTCCGCCTAATTTTTTGACCAAATATTTACTTTGAACTTACAAGTTATAGTAATGTTGAAGATATCGCATCAAAAGTGCACGAGTCACGCATCCAAATGATAAACGTGCTGAGCAGTCGTTGCAGTCGTCCCGGAGAAAGGTACATCTTTTGGACCAATAATTGAAATCAACCAATTGAATAAATATGGTATTTTCTGGTTTCATCAGATTTCCCTTCAAGAAATAACCTTGCCATCTCTTTTTTGATTGGCTTTCGGGTTTTGCCGCGGTCTTCTTTGGTTACAATCTCCGAAATTCCAACTGCAACTGCGGCAGTCATCTTCAGTGCTATCAATAGTCTCACACAATTAGTTGAAAGGTATAAAAACTTCCTTGTCTCACCAAACGCGGTTGTACAAAGCAACAGTCAATTGTTCCATAAGGCCTCCGTTTAGAGCTTCAAGCCAGCAAGTCCATCATTGCTGGCTATAAAGTGTCTACTTAAATAACAAAAAATTTGAAAAAAATCAATATATCGCTTTGTGTACTCGTACTTTGACAAAACAGGTTAAGATAAAACTTGAAGTAACTCTTTCTGAATTCGCAGGCAAGCCAGCGATATCTACCATTCACATAGCAGACTCAAAAACTGTCTCAAAGTCAGAAATATCCGACATAGCAAACGCCATCATAGACGGATCTGACGCTTTGCTACTGGCGAGAGAAGCATGTACAAAGAAAATTCTCAGCACGGTTAATAATATTTGCAAGGAAGCGGAGCCTGCTGTCCACCAGAAGCAAGTATTCAATGAGCTCATCGGCAGTATCTCGTCACCCATGGAAGCCATTTATTCTTTGGGGATCTCGGTGGTAGAAGCAGCTTCGAAAACGAATGCGGCTGCTATTATTTGTTTAACATCTTCCGGTAGGACTGCGAAAATATTGGCAAGGTATTAGTAAATTAATTAATTGTTGGAAGATATAAATTATCCACTTCAAGATGGCTAAGACTAGTCATATTCTGATTATACTAACTTGGTTAGCGAAACGCAACGATTATGGACATACAGGATTGCTTACTTACATATATCGCCACGTTAAACAAGCGCCGAGCAGATGTGACGTAAAACTGATGACACTTTTAGTAGCTGCCATAAGAATGTGTGTTATTTTAACATTTTTTGAGGATCATTTTCGGACAGTATTACATCGTTATTGTATATTTTGATTAAATATTTATTTAACTATACCAATTAGGTTTCTGAAACATTGAGTTTGTTATTGTGAAAGTCGTATATTTTTGTGCTTTTGGACATTCTTTAAACTGGTGTAACGAGTAGACGCCATGTAAGACTTCCGTTTTGAAGTTTGTTTTTCTCCATTGTGAAACTTTTTTTGTTTTTTGAACATTTTTAAATTAAATTAAGGTAAAAATTGGAAATATTTACATTTTTGTAAGTGATAGCAATAATTGTTTGATCATTAAATAACCTTGTAATTTTTAGTTAAAATGTCTGGTCGTATTTGTGCAGTGTCAACTTGCAAAAGCAATCAGTTGACTTTAAAGAAAAGTGTTGTGATTGATGTAATATTTCACTCTTTTCCTATTGCTAAGGATATGATTTCTACAACTTTGCAAAAAGAATGGATTCGTCGCTGCAAAAGAGGATATAAATTCACTCTCAAAAATGGATTTGTTTGTTCTAAACATTTTACAGAAAATGATTATGAACAAGACCTTGAAAATGAATTGTTACGTAAAAACTTACCTATTCTAATAATTTACCGCTTGAAATAAATATGATTTTTTTATATCATCCACAAAAGAAAAATTTTTACTTAGTATCAATCCATTTATATTAAGTATTTAATCCTATATAAAAATAATATTTTAATAAGGGATTTACCTGAAGTTTGTTTATTTCAATTCAAAAGTGCAGTTCCGAATCAATCCAGAGTCACCACGTTACGTCACGAGACCACGTGACGTGTCTAACAAAATCGCAAAAGTAAGCTATCCTGTATGTCTATAATCGTTGAGCGAAACGCACGTCGTGAGGCAGCCATTTTATTCTGGTGAGGGAAAAGTTACATTATTTCAGGACCTGGACCCCTACAGACTCAGGGTTTTATCATGCTGAATGCTCTCATGGTATTGCCAAGTAACAAAGTTTTCTTCAGGGAAAAGGAAATTTATCGATACAATTTTGGGGTCTTGTGGTGATACTGTCGATAAAAATTTCAAAAAGAGCATTTTTCATTATTATTATTATTACTTCAATGATTAGTACGTATTTTCCAAACATATATTTGTAAAATGTCAAACAATAATTTTATGACTGTTAGTAAAAATTATCATCTAGTATTTATACTCAAAATAGTTCAGCAGTTCAATCATAACTATCGTCTATGTTATCTCAAGTCTACCAAACCAGAAGAGATAATACGTATGTGATATTTTAGAAAAGCTCCAGAATTCGACGAAATTACCATAAAAATTATTGAAAAAGTTGAATCAGAATTAGCACCACTGATAAGGGAATTGATAAATTGGCAAAGTAAAACCATTATTCAAAGCAGGTACTAAAGACCAAATGAGGAACTATAGACCAATATCAGTTTTACTAGATTTAGATTAGAACAAAAAATATGGAGTTCTTTCATTAGACCTGAAGAAAGCATTTGATACTGTGGACCATAAAATTCATCTGAAAATAATGCATAATATAGGTATCCGAGGTTTAGTTTATAATTGGTTTCGAAATTATTTATTGAATAGGAAGCAATATAATTATGGGCGACATAATCAGTGCCAAAGAATATATGGGGTACCGCAAAGATCTATACTTGGACCTGTTTTGTTCCTTATATATTTCAATTCTTTGGCTACGGTAAATTTATTTGATGAATTACAAATGTTTGCTGATGACACCACTTTAATTTACAATGGAAATAGTGTATAAGACATTAAAATTAATGTTTCGAAAGAGTTTAATCAAATGTAATTATGACTCGAATGTCAAAATTTCAGAAATTTTCGTATACAACATATTGAAACAATGATATTCCAAAATTCAACATCTAATATCAGTATGGGGATTGGCAACAAATTCCTTATTGAAACCAATTAGAAATTAAAACTGAACAAAATTATGAGGTGTATATTCAAGTTTAACTACAAGGAACCTACAGTCAATGAGGAAGAATTCATTTGGCAAGCTCTCATATGAAAGTGGGCAAACCGCAGATACGTGTTTCTGGTTATTTAGCCTTCGTCAATACGGTACAGGTAAGTGCAAAGAATAGACAGCACTTGGTTGCAAGAGAGGGATCGAAAACAACAAAAGGATTCACCATCAGCGGCCGACTGCAATTCCGTGTCATCGTTGGAAGACATTGTGATTACTCCCAATATAGTCACGGGTGCAGCTATAGCAACCTGCGTGACATCCGTGTCCAAGATGAATCAAACATGAGAAATGGATATTGAGTTAATATGGTAGGACTAACTCCCAACTTAGTCACTGGTGCAGCAATATCCATCTCTCAGATTTGATTCATCTTGGACCCGGATGTCACGCAGGTTGCTATAGCAGCACCCGTGACTATTAGTCCTTGTAATCACAAGTTCTTCCAACGATGACACGAAATCGCAGTTAGCCCCTGATGGTGAATTCGTTTGCTGTTTTCGATCCCTTTCTTGCAACCAAGTGTTGTCTATCCTTTGCACTTAGCTATACCGTACTGACGAAGGCTGAATAGGAAGAAACACGTGTTTGCGGTTTGCCCACTTTCATATGAGTGCTTGTCCAAAATATCGTTCCTCATATATAGTTACGTTGTAGCTACTTTTTGAATAAATTGCTTTTTCCCTGCTATGAACATTGTATGTTTCTTGGGAAAAAGAATCGTTACTATTACTATTCAAGAGTAATAATTCACAGGTTCAGGCCAAGGTGTCCCGTCATAGCAGTCACAAGGTATGGCAGGATAGGCCGAATGCTCGGAATATACAAAGCTATGGAACCTATTATCTACCTAAGACCATTCAACCAGAATTGGACCAAAGATGTGGATGACAGAATACAACTGGGGGTGACTTACGGAAAATATGTTGGATACATAAGAATGGGGGATGCGCTCATTACAGTTACCCCTTCCAGACCTGATTGCGGGATGGCCAATACAATGAAAGTAATTTATGCGTCAGATTTTGATGCACTGCCAAAGAAAAAGCCGTTTTGATCCACTACATTTTTTCGACTATGTAAATGACCATGCTGATTTTTTTTATTAAACTTTCGATGACAGTGATCGTTCTTATTGTTGTTTATTCGATTTGAGAATGAGCAAAATATCAACTGACTCTGAGGGGATGATCACAAAGAAAATAAAATAAGTGGAGAAGCTGATATTTCGTGAAGGAGTGTAAAAATGAATCGTATTTTAGATTCTAGAAAATCTCCGGAATTCAATGGGATTACCATTAAATTTTTTAAAAATAATAAATCAGAATCAGCGCCACCGTTGAGTACACTGCTAAATATTTCTTTTTCGAAAGATACGGTCCCCAATAACACAAAAATTGAAGAAATTGAACCATTATTCTATGCAGGTAGAGATGATTGAATGGCAAATTGAAGACCTTTTACAGTTTTGCCAGTTTTATGTGAAATTATTGAGGAATCAGTACATTGTAGATCATATAAAAATTTGACTCAAAAAGTCATCACTATAAGATAAATTAATTGGAAAATGTATAGTCCACTTGGAAAATAATTTAACTGTTGACTCTTTTCAATGACACACTTGACAATTGACACAACAGTCTAGTTTCAGTTATCATACTGTTTGGTGAAAGTAATGAAAAGTAAAAAGTAATAAATGCTCATTATAAACGCAAAAGTCAAATTCAAATTCATGATTGAGTTATGATATGCCACAGCTACATTAGCGGGTTTACATTACTTCACCGGGTCCACCCTATTTTTGTATCGAAGATTTTATGAGCGTTTTTGTCGTTACAAATGTTAAATCAAAGATTCTCACGGACTGAGTATGAAGGGTTGTTTTTCCGGGTTTTATTCCGTGTTCTGTGTTTTCAATCCTCACAAGGATCATTTTCACTGCATTTCGGCATTCTCATTTGCCATCTTCTGGTGATGTCTGAAGTTTGAGATTAGTTTATTATTACTCATTTGTAGTAATAATTTATCTTGTAGAAAGTTCACTAAGGGTTGTCCATCTCCAGATCCGAAATTAACATTGAAATCTTCTGCTGAAATTAGTGACAACGTATGATAGTTTTCCCCTTATTCTTCAGGTTCCGACGGAATTCCAAATATTTACCTGAAAATTGCATTTACTCCATTACTCATCCTATGTACCTTCTTTTCAAGACTTCTCTAGAACAGGCAGTTTATCCAAATTGTTGGAAACACAGATCATTATTCCAATTGGCAAATCGGGCGACAAGAAAAATATAAAAAATTATTGAAGTGTGTGCAGCCAGTCATCTATTCCAAATTTACTTGACAGTTTAATTTCAAATCACGTCAACTTTTTATGTAGAGAAAGATCAATCAATAACTAACATTGCTTCTGTCGAAATATGTCGACTGTTTCCAATCTTATAATCTACTAGCAGAAAATATTGAATGTCTTGGAGAGTAGAGGTCAGATTGATGCCATATACACTGACTTTCCAAGGCATTGTACAGAGTAAATATACACAATATACTATTGAAGAAGATCGGAAATTTTGGTTTCATAAAACATTTGGTAAATTGTTTTGGTATGTTTTTGACTGGTCGTTCTCAACAGATTAAAACTGGGGATGCAAATCGAGTGATATATCAGTAATATCTGGAGTGCAAATTGTTCACACCTGTTATTCAATATTTTTGTCAATTACATGACCTGAAGCTTATCAGACCGATAAAGTCACACAATGACCGAATTCTCCTTCAAATGATCATGATAAAGTTTATGAATGGTGTGTTACAAATAACTTGTTTCTCAATGTAAATAAATGCCATTTTATTATCTTCTCAAGAGTTGGTGGGAAATTCGATATATCATACAACATAAATGATCAGCACTCAGAATACAAATCGTCTATAAAAAATTTGGGGTCATTTTTTGATGAACAACTTAGATTTGTAAACCATATTAACTAAATGAGTGTGAAATCGAAAACACAAGGTCTTATTTTACGTCATTGTTCAGGTTTTTCCATTGAAGCATTAAAAAGGATTTATTTGGTCTCCATTTCACAATTTCCACTGTGTATCTCTAGAAAGAGTGCAAAATTAATTTTTGAGATTTTGTTCTTTCAAGTTGGGTCATCAAATACAGTACCATGACTATGCGATTTTATTACAAGAAATGGCTCTGAAACTATTGCAAACCAGAAGAATTTACGCAGGTCTTTGCTATGCATTCAAGCTGTTCAACGGACTGATGATCGAAAAACGATATTATTCAAAATAACCAATCTGGTTTTTGGCCAGGACAAAGCTGCACTTCGGCTCTTCTAAAAATGATTGATGACATAACTGATGCTACTGATAAAGAAAAAATATCCTCTTTGATATTACTAGATTATTCTAAGACCTTTGATACTCTCAATCACAGAATATTACAAGTAATTTTTAATTTTGTAGGGATCAGCAGATAGGTTACCAAACTTCTATCCTGCTGTTTAAGCGATAGAACTCAGGCAGTACTATATGGTGAATAAGTTTCTAAATTTTTAAAAATCGATAAAGGAGTACCACAAGGGTCAGTATTGGGGCCCGTAATCTTCAGTCTATATACTTGCAATTTTCCTTCCTATCATGCACGCAGCACTATTATGCTGATGATACACAATTATATTTGTCATTCAAACTTGAAGAATACTCTCAGGCTATTAGTGCTTTGAATTTTGATCTATATAATCTTGAGCAATTTTCTAATAATCATTGCCTAAAACTGAATTCAAATAAAACTGTACTTATTTTCTATGAAATTTCTACATCGTTTGATGCTAATCCCGCATAAATAAAAATAAAAATGAATACCGTAAAACGGTGTGAATAGAAACCAGGGGGAGAGAGAATAGAAACAAAAATGAAGCATCAGTTCAAAAATGCCCTAAATTGTTCAAATACAATAGAAAAAGCTCCAAATGATATGTGTTGGACACAATGCATGTGTGACAACATGAAATCAGTATATATTACTAATATGCTATTGGCAAAACTGTATATTCGTTATTTCAGTTGAACATATGATTGTATAACGTATGCGTCGTTGAATAAACTTTATGTGTTAAGAAAAAACCAATTTACAAACTAACAAATTGGCCCAGACATACTTTAATATGTCTCATTAACGTAGTTGTATGCAAAATTCTGATTTATCGAGTAGTTTCGGATATATATTTTTTGTAGATGACTAACGTCACTTGTTTTGTTTCTATTCACCTGTTGTTTCTATTGACGAAAAACGATAAAAAGTTCAAGTGGCAGCCAGCAAAAGCGTATCTGGAGCAGATTTTTCATATGAAGAAGGAACTGAAATTGAAGATAATGATTCATGCTTGCCAAATAATACAAAAGTTGAAGACGATGAAGGAAATGAAGTTCTTGATATGCATGAAGAATCACTTGAATCAGAAACAGATGAAGAGATGAACATGTCGTTAGCACAAATTGCTGCTGCTCAATCAAAATATGGAAATGAATCAATTCCTAGGATATTCTAGGAAGAGTCTTCAAACATATTTTTCTGTTTCGAAGCAGTTCATTCGGAAGTCAGATTGGCTGCTGGTTGCTTTTCCAACTAGTTTTGGGAAAATAAATAAATTTAAATATTACATTGGGAATGTGCTGAAGAACGTTGATCAAAATCATGAAATTTTTGGAACCTTCTTGAGACAACGACCAACCAAGCAATCCTCAGGATACATTTATGAGTGTCATGCAGAACCCGATCTCTGCTTGTTTGAAAGTGATTGACCATGTTTCATTATGAATTTCAGTAGTTTGGACTTCCATCGTCTAATATATAAAATGATTTCAAACCCCTGATACAACTAAAAAAAAGAGAATAGCTGAAAATAACAATTATATTAAGCGAAAATAACCTGAAATAAAATGATCGTTAAATAAAATACAATTAAAAATAGAACGATTGAACAAAAAATAAAGAAATGAAAAGTTAAGAGATTCCAAGCCACGTTAGTTCACGACGTTTCGATTGTTAGTATCTACAATCGTCTTCGGGTGATGACTGGACTGATTCTTCCGAAAGATGACTATTTATGGGTAGTTCAAGTAATTTCACTTATCCCCGCTTTCCATATTTTTCCGCTTCACTGGTTCAGTGGGAGATGACCGTTTGGCGGGAGTTGGCCATTTTTCTCTTGATGGTGGGTTTCCATATGTTGCGTATCTCTACGCTAGCTTGACTGAATACGTTGTTGGACAGCATGTATGCGACTTCTTTGAATTTTCTCCTAAACCAATGTTTCTCTCTGTGTATGATCTCAGCTTGGGATCACTCGATGTTGTGTTGATGGGTTCAAACATGGTCTGCTATTCCTAATTTGCTGATTTTCCTTCGCTGTGTGTTTTTTGTGCTCGGCAATGCGAATATTCAATGGCCTCTTAGTTTCACGAACATAGGATTTTCCGCACTCACAGGGTATTCGGTAAATGCAATTCTTGGAATCGCAGTCCGCGTCCGTACAGTCCAAGTACAACATCAGAACCTGCTTCAGATCCAGTACCACTATCCGTAGCAGCGTCACGAAAACCAGGCCACCATTTTACAGTACTACATTGTTCACTTTACAACCGACTCAATTATGTCAGCCAATGAAAGAGGTACCAGAAAATTATTCATTACTCCACTGCTCAAGGAAATATACTACAGTAGCGTTAGAAAGTGGTTATTTTTGGAACATATCTAGCCCTCACTTGTGGTTAAAACAATCAAAAGACTATTTACAATATTTATAACTTAAGTTAATATTTAGGTTGGTAATGCAACATCTTTACATTATTACACTGTTGGTAAGATTGTTTTGTAGACATAGTTGCCAAGTATAATAAAAATGATATAACAGTTTTAGTGAAGAGATTTTGTAGACAAGAACAGTCAGTTTAGTTTTTCATTATTAAAAATTATCACTGTAATTTCATCTGTAGAAAACCAAATTAAAGTGTTGTAGTATTTTTCACAAAGTGTATCATTACTACCACAAGCTTCCAACATATCACTAGCATCGGTAGCAATCAATCCGCCTGTTCGTCATAAACCCCTAA